TGTACTTGGAACAAAGCCGATAAGCGCTGCAGAACACACCATTGAAGCTCAATTGAAACGGGTTTCCCGCTTGTATGAACAAAGAGCTGCGGGTGCAAATGTGTTCGCCAGGTCTTGTGGGACGGTAACCCCACACCAGAATAGAGCACGGATAACAGAGTAACATTAGTTTCCGAGAATAGGATGGATAGGATGAATGGAGTGTCTCCTCGATGTTCAAGCAGGTTTCGCAGAGGACCGTAAGGTTTGGTCACCTGTTTGTGTAAATGAATAAGGGAAATCAGCCCGAACTCGTGGAACTGTTTCAATCGCACATTTACTGCGACAAGCTGCGAACGTTCGTGTGCCTATCATCCTAATCCAGGACACATTATAAGCAGATGAGAAGCCGCAAAGGCGTAATTGGTGAAATCAAGATGAATTAGAACTTTAAGCTTCGGGATAGCAGAGGATAGCAGTGTCGGGGGAGTTGCTGTAGCATCCCAGAGTTCGATGGAAAGCAGGGCAAGGTTTACAGCCGTAAAGACAAGCTACGGTCGGGTGAAATATTTCCCGTGATTGGCTTGGCTCAGTGGAGTCATGATGTCACTCTGTAAATTATTTTGCCTGCGCTCCAAGGGTTATTAATTATTACCCCTAGTTGTAGAACATCGTGCTCATCGTCCGTTTTCGCCCGAAGCCTCACTGAAATCGAAAACTGAGTCTTGGCCCTCCTGACAAGAGAAGGATGCGCCCCAGACAGGTGGGATTGGGAATACGCAATTTGTAAGTGATGTCCAGGGCCTGGCCCAGCCTGAAAGCCCCGGCTTGGGCCCGGCTTTGGAGGGCTTGGGCTTGCATTTCTTCAGGCCGGGCTCGGCCTGGCTCGGCTTGGGCTCAGGCCCGGGCTTGAGTCACGTGTCGGGAATTCAACAAAGGTTCAAATTGGTACGAAATATGGGTGATTGAGGCAATACGGGTACCTGGGTGAGTGATCATCAGTACTGGCATGATTTTGGAACTCACAATTGTGGTATTTGGGTAATAAACCTGCATGATCTCCGCCTTGGTAGAAGTCGTTGATCTCTATATTTGAGCAGGTCTGATGTCGTGAACAAGAGAAACCACATAGAAAACTCGAAGAAAGCTCAAATGCAATGTATAGGGCTCGAAACAATGCAAGATCAACCTTTTATGTCACATAACTTCAGTGTGTCTTGGGTAACCGAGGCCCGGGCTTGCGGGCCCGGCTTGGGCCTGAAAAATTCAAAGCCCAAGCCCTGGGCCCGCTCAAGCCCTGTGTAGGGCCTGGTCCGGCTCGGGCCTGCGAGGGCCTGGCCTGGCGGGCTTCAGGGCCTCAGGCCGGGCCACGGACATCACTATTTGTAAGTCGCTAGTTGCAAAGACAGGCGAGATATTCATTGCCTTGCCCGTGTGTGGGTGTTGGTGCATACCGCAACTATCGTACAAATCCAGTCCCAGTGTCATCGCCTGCAGGTGTGCCCAGTTCGCGGGGCTTTCATCCGGTCCCATGCTGCGTATATATATCGAGGGATTATCTTCTCGCATGCGGTACATGGCGGTGAGGCATGCCGTCGACGGGGTTCGTTCCCGTGGGACATCCTGACAGCGGTGACCATGGTATAATATGAAGTTTAATGTTCACTCTACCATTCTATGGTGTCTCATCCTCTGAATTGGTTCTACGCAAGGTATTGCGGACCAGACAGGGCTTTTCGACATTCCATGATGGGAGTTCGTGTACAGGTATTTTGTGGTATAAAATACAGAATGGGTATGTACAGTATACAAAACTCAAGAGCGCAATCAGTTAGCGGCTCGCTACCCACGTGATTCGAGGCCAGACGTCGCCCGCTTCGGAAGCGGGCCAAACCATGCTTTCCACCACCACCTCAGTCTTGGGCCTAGCGGCGGGCCTTTGAGACCGGCACGCTGTTATGTGCAGCCAACACAGATTCGAGATTGATTGAGCGCTGGGAGTTTTGGAGGGCCGTTCTGGTCGTTCGCTGTTGAGGATTTTCATCATCGCCGCCACAGTTGAAGGCAAAATATCCGATGTATTCCGGATATTCATGCAACCAGCTGACAATCCCGACCCCGCCCCGAGAGCCCCCAATACTAGTACACGGACGGATCAGCGACGAACAATGGCAAGGAAGACGTAAAAGCCAGCGCAGGAATCTTCTACGGCAAAGAAGACGAAAAGAACCGCACCATTAAAGTACCAAACGAACTGAACCCATCCAATCAAGTTCCTACAGCATATCCTAACGCAATGCGATGCACTGGGCCAACACATGGTCTGGGATCTGACCAGTGAGCTCTGGCAGATGAAAACTGGACCACCGCCCGACCATAGGCAATATATTTGCATGCAGATTAATTAACAAAAATGATACTGGCACCTCCCGCCTATTCTGCATCCTTGTAGCCGAATCAACCTACCTCATATGGTGCCTGCAGAATGAGAGAGTCATTCAAGAGAAACCAGCGTCCATCCCGGAGGTCCAGAACAGATGGTGTTAAGTCATGAACAGCAGACTACAATTGGACTGTATCCTCGCAAATGACGATAGGTACGGTAAAAAATCTCTGAAAAAAGAACTAGTCATGCGAACATGGAAAGGAGTTCTTAAAAACGAAGACAATCTCCCTGAGGTATAGACAAGGGAGACCGGGGTTTTAGTGGGTGTCGGCTAAGGCTAAGGATAGGGCAAATCGGAACCAGCTTGCTGGGGAAGACGAGCTCTTCCCACACGCGGTGTCGATGAAACACCAGTGTCACGGAGACATCTCAGGTGGTTGTAACGTCTGGCTGGGTTTTCTTAGTCGAAGGCCTCAAACTAGTGGGTAGGGAATGGACAACTATGTCGGTCCACAGGTGTATGGAAGCGTGGAAACGCTAAACAGTACCTAAGGGTAGCCACGGCTATCGTTCCCGACTGTATAACACTCCACAGAAATATACACCTAAGGGAGGTCCGCCTAAATTACGTAAAGGGCCTCTTAGGGGATTTATCTTGTATGAGCGTAAATCCCCTAAGAGGCCCACTTCCGCCAAGCGGACGTGAGTCATATGTTCCCATTGAGACCATCAATTCTATTTTTGCGCCGCGTGATATGTGCCGTGTTCCATACGTAATATGTGCTGTCTTCCACAACCACCCTCCCTCGATATTTACCTACATTGCTTCAGTGGCTTCCTCTCGTTGCAATCTATGTCTCTCTCCTTCTGGAATGCTATGTCTTTCGCTCACTCCTAGTCTCAAGGCGACTCAAATCTTGGCCTCGTGAATGTACCACCAGACACGTCTGCTAGTTCACTTCGGGATGGCTTCAATTTTGTGGTCTCTGTATGAGGTAAAATCTTTGGGTGTGTACTGGACCTCGGCTGGGCAAGTATCTACTCAGATTCCGGCATCCTTGGTGGGACCCCAACGGCTCTAGTACTGGATCTCGGCTGGGCGAGGTACCTGGCGGTTGTATCTGCTCCATATTATGTCTCTCATTTCTCTGCACTTCCAGTTGCTATTTTGTCTCTAATTCTTTCGAGTGTTTGAATCAACTTGTTGAACACTCCGGTGTCCCTCCCTGACTTGGCTCTGGCCCATTGAATCAACCGGCGGATGTATCTGCCACCAGCTTCGTTTTGCCTCTTTTTGTTGTCTTCTTATCTTTCCAGGCACCCAAATCACCCGATTCCACATACAATACCAAGATGTTATATATACAATATGTATATATACAAGACCATGATGTTATATATACAATACGTATATATACGAGACCAAGATGTTATATCTGTACAAAATATCTAAAATGTACATCGAACGAAGGCCAGTATAGATACACAAGATAATCCAAGATGTCTATTCTACAATATAGGCGGAATTCTACGGTCAGAGCAATATAGAAAGCGAGGAGAATGTGTCCAGTCCAAAAAAATTCTAGTACCACACAACATCACTTCTCGATATTCTGCAAAGCGGCTGCAATATCTTCAATGGAATACCCTTTGAATGCCGCCATGAACTGATCAATCTGTGCCACTGCCGACACCACAGCAGTGGGGTCAAAAGGAACGGCAGGGGCAGCAGGCACGATGGGCGGTGCAGCAGGCACGATGGGTGTTGCAGCAGGCACGATGGGCGCTGCAGCAGGCATGATGGGCGCGGATGGGGTGGGCAAGGCAGGGGCAGTGGGTCCAACAGACGTGGTGGGCAGTCCGGCTGACGACACAGCGGATAGCAGCGGCCCTGGCGGCTCAAATGATGCCAGTGGGGGTGCGCCAAGGGCAGTGTCATTAGTGGGCGGCGGGGGTGCACCAAGGTTTGTATTATCAGCGGGCAGCGGGGGTGCGCCAAAGGCGGCATCATCAGCGGGCGGTTCTACCGGCCCTTTCATCCCCAGACCACCAAGGAAAGTAACCATATTGCAATACAGTGGGCCGCTATCATGAGCCATGTTGCAATGTTGTGGGAGTCTGGCCATCCGATGGCTGTCCAACCATAATGCAATGCGGCAGTCTGCCAGGAAATAAAAGAGGTAATAGCAGGGATTGAACGCAAAACCCCGTGTTAGGTAATAAACCCAAACCAACATTATAACCAACTGAGCTAAGAAGGAGTGCTGGTACTGCAAGATATTAGGTATGTACTATGTTCATCCAAACACATAATTAGCCTTTCTACCCTCTACACTGGCCCGCATAGGGCCCTGGTTAGGTTGGTTAGGGTTAGGGTTAGCTGGTTAGCTGGTTAGGCCCAGGGATCATTTAAGTTCTTAGGTTAGGTAGGTTAGGTTGGTTAGGGTTGGTTAAGGTTGGTTAGGTTAGGTTAGGTTTGTTAGGGTTGAAAATACTACCCAAACACAGAACAAACAGTGCCAAACAATTTTCGAAGACCTAGGGCAGCTTGCCTGCCCTAGGTGTGGGTATGAGCAGTGCCAGGTAGGGTAAGCCCAGGCTTACTCTAGCTGGGAAGGACAATATCTTTTATACAGGCAGTTTGGTGTAGTGGTTATGACCTCTGACCAAGAGGCTTACGTAATGTTACCTGAAGTCTGTGGTTCAAGCCTTCTTTTTGCCAGTTATTTCTTTTAATATTTGTAGAGGACCACCACATTGCAATGTGGCATGGACCTGGCCATATGGCCAGGCATCCACGATATTGCAATATGGCTCTGGATAGCGGCCTGCAACATTGCAATACAGGTACAGTCTTTACATCCCCAGACGGCCGAAGACTGCATTGTCGACCTCGTACCACTGGCCAATGGGCTGCAGGTTCTTGATGCTGTATAGCATCCCCGAATCCGTTGGTGGGAGTTTCGAGGAGGAGGCGACTGCATTGAACGAGCCGGTTTGCCACTTTTGTGAGGGTTTGGAGGGGCCGGCGACTGCGTTGGGAGGGCCAGCTGAACTGCTGGAGGCGGCAGTGGCGGTAGTGCTTGACCGTGTTACACAACGAGTGATGCTGGTGGGTGGAAGGGTGGTGGAGGCTGCAGGGACTCGTTCACGACCGCCGGACGTATCTGCCTTGTGCTTGGCAGACGAGTCCACTTGGCGCCCGACGGACGTATCTGCACTGCGCCAGTTGGCAGGTTGACGTCGTGCTCCTGCAGCTGGATGACGTGGTGGTGGTACGGGTTGGGGCCTAGGTCTAGGTGATGGCGGCGGGGTGAGTTCGGACTTGTTGCTGTCGTCCACAGGCTTGGCAGATGAGTCCGCTTGGCGCCCGATGGATGTATCTGCACTGCGCCAGTTGGCAGGTTGACATCATGCTCCTGCAGCTGGACGATGCAGCGGTGGTACAGGTTGGGGTCTAGGTGATGGCGGCGGGGTGAGTTCGGACTTGTTGCCCTCATCCACAGGCATGGCAGCGGGGTCGGCAGTAGTATGACGGCTTTCAAGACGTCTTTTGAGATCTTGCAATGGCTGGTCCTCGTCCTCGTGCAACCAGCTGTGCTCGGCGATGTCCCAGCGCACAGATTGGTCCTTGTGCTGAGACTCCGAGCGCGAGCCCGCCAGGGCAGATCTCAAAGGGCGAGGTAATGTATCCTCACCATTATCCGCTCTGTCGCTATCCAAATCCCGCATTGCATTACCTCTGTGACCTCCCCCTTCCTGCATGGGTGCCTGCGCTGGCACCGGACGTGTAGAGGTTGCCCATGGCGCTGTCTTCTTCCCTCGCTTTACCGGCATTGTGGCTTCCTCGTCCTTGTCCGCATCTTTCCTCTTCCTTTTCACCTTCTCTTTCTCCTTTCCTTTCCCCTTATCCTTCGCCTTCCCCCCCCGGTTTCCAGTGCCGGAGAGTCTTCATCTGAATCCTCCTGTTCCTCATCATTCAAGCCCGCCTCTGCACCGGCTTGTACCAGGGTTCGGGGAGAGTATTGTAGTGGCACATGGAGATCATATTGCATGTGCCAGACGGCACGATTGCCATCGGTGCAGTTGACTGGTGCACCATTTGATGACCGCCAGAATTTGCGAACTAAGGGGGAGTCGGGCGGACCTTCAGGCGGTGTGAGGGTGTAGTCATGCGAGTAAATAACTACGGCGCCTGCCAGTATAATTAGTATTGGAAAAGATGCCATCGACATTAATGAACTCACCCAGCTCATACTTGCGCCGCTCCACACGAAGACCTTGGTGTGGGCCGCCTGTTCTGGCTGCCAGAGCAGTTTGAAGTGCTTCACGCTCAGCGGCACGCCAAGTGCTCGTTGCCCAGGTGGCAGGCATTTGGGCAGGGTCGCGGACAGAAGCAGGAAAATTTTTGATGATGAAGTCGCCCTCAGAGAGAATGACGTCGAGCCTCCTCCAGCCAAAAACTTTGGAGCGCCCACTCTTCTCCCGATAGATGTTGACGCCTACATTCTCGTTAGAGGCACTTGTCATGATGTCCTGCAAGGAGTGGGTGTCGTCCACGGATTTCTGGTGGCGTGTTTGGCGCAGCACTTGCTCCCGCTTCTTGACAGGAAGCGTGGTCAGATCAATCACCTCAGGCTGGGGCGCGTTCCTCCCCTTGTAGACCTTCTCCGCTTTGCCGGCGGATGCAGCTGCTGCCTTGGCACGTGATGCGACAGATACCCACCATCTGCGCGTCCTCGTCCCCACCGAGCAGAGTAAAACCAATCTCCTCTGTGCTGGTGGGGATTTAGAATAGGAGAACTTGAATGAATAAAACCACTTACTATGCAGCTAGCTTGACAAGGGCCACCACATCGTAATCATTCAGATCCGACCGCAATGTCGACAAGAGCTAATCTTTGGATTAATATGAGCTGAGACGACCTGAAGAAATAGTCACCTTTTGTAAACCCCCAGTAGAGTGGAGGACAGCCAGCTTCCCATCCTCGTTGAGGTAGGAACCAGTCATGATGGAGAGGCTATGAAAGCCAAACTTCATCACGAATTTCTTGAGCTGATAGACATGTTAGTTATCTGCAACAAAGATCTAGAAAATACGGCAGACATACCATCCCAATAATGTCCCTGGTAGTACGCGTAAACTGGCGGTGGCGCGTCCCAATGCTGATCTCATTGCTCAGCCGGTCGAGGGCATCCCAGTCATCGAGTAGCTGCATAAGCTCCTTGCCGTACACCTTTCGGAAACAGGGGCCACGCTGCCTTGATCTCATCCGGGGTGAGCGCATGAGGGGGTTCTCCAGCAGGGGTAGGTACCAATACGAAGCTCGGGTTGGCTTTCACCACGGCGGTCTCCGCTCGTACCAACTCTTCAGCCCAATTCTCCAATGTGTTCGCATATCTTTGATAGATGTTCCAACCATTGGAGGAACACGACGGGGTGGGAACATGATGGTACGAGCACAGGATTTTTTCCTGGCTCAGACCTGTTGCCAATGCGCAGTTCTTGACAAGGGCATCTACGGCTGCGTGGCACGCGGCCACCGCATCCAATTTAGTCTTGTCTGGGCGGCCGCGCCGTGGGCTCTCCACCTCGTCGCCATAGGAAAAGTTGTTGGCCGCATCAGATGCATCCGCCCTCATCTCGACGGATGCATCTGCACCCATCTTGCCAGATGCACTTGCACCCATCTCGCCGGATGCATCTGCACCCATCTCGCCAGATGCATCCACACCCATCTCGACAGACGCATCTGCACCCATCTCGCTGGATGCATCTGCACCCATCTCAACGGACACATCTGCACCCATCTCGACAGATGCATCCATGTCCATCTCAACAGATCCGTCTGCAAATGCGTCAGTGGCTTCCTCCTCAATGGCCACTGCAGTGGAGACAGCGGACTCAGGGCGAGGTGTGGAGACAGCGGAATGAGGGTGAGGTGTGAATTGGAGGAGGGGGAAATGGGGTGGGGGCAGAAGTGATGGATGGGACCAGTGAGGCGGGAACGGCCGTGCAGGCGGCAGTGATGGGGAGTGCGGTGGAAGCAGAGGGCAATGGAGAGGAAGACAGAGGATCTGGATGCAGGGGAGACTCCAGAATTGCCGGGTTGATGGTGGGTGGTGGGGTGGATGGCCGCAGCCCTGCACGGAGCCCTGCCACATGAACCATGTCGGGGCCGGCGCGCGAAGTAAGCTTAATTCGCGTCCGCAACCTGGTGGGGGACAGTGTTTCTGGAGGCGTTGCCGACCGACGCTGTCCACCACCAACTTGGTCGTTGTCCTGCGCATCATCGTCCTGCATTGTCACAGACAACACCTCAATCCACTGCTCGGTAAGATGAACAGGGAGTGAAGGATGTGGTATGAACATCGTGAAAATGAATGAATAAAAGGCTGGAGACTACAGTTGAAAGCGTACACTACTTATACTACTTGGAGTGGACTGTGAGAACGACTACACTTTTGTTGTGTTGTACAATAGCTATGCTCAGTCTAAGAAACTGTTTCTAGCTACGATGTTGAACATTGTCCTCCTGACAGTTGTTATCAATGTTGTCCTGTCGATCCCTGACATGGCAGTGTCTCTGACAGATCTCTGATTGTCAGGTGTACTGCTTTTATTGTTCTGCCATAAATATCCATCCAGGTTCCCAGGATCAATCAGCATCTTGATATCTGCCACAACACTGATCTCGTGGCCCATCTATCAAGTGGCGATACAAGGAGTGGCAGATGATCTTGTTATCACGGGTTCATGATATCCTCCATAGGCGCTTGTGATTGAGCACTTAGATAAGGTGTTGGAGCGATAAGATTTGCATTGAATCATGACATGCATCTCCACATCCTGCATCCCCACGTTGTCGATTTCGTCAGCTCCTGGCCTTGTCACTCCTCCTTTGACGCTGGCGCTGTCATCGTCTGCATCGTCAGGGCTGTAACCCAGTAATGAGAGGGGAAGCCTCTGGGCCTGGGGCCATGGGTGGCCGAGGATGTCGCACCAACTTGATGTGGAGAAATCTGGCACCAGCGGGGAGATAGGTGAGGCCGGGGCAGAGACGGGCAGGGCCGGTGCGGAGACGGGCGGGGGTGGACGAATTGGAGAATATTCTAGTTCGTCAATCTCCTCGTCCTCACTGCTGTGTGCATCGTGGTCAGGAGGATTGACTGAATAGGGTGGAGGGGGGGGCAGATGTGTCCGGCGTCGCCGGTGCGTTGAGCTGGCTGAGCAGCAATGCAGTCCACGTTGGCAGGCTGGGTCGTGGGCCCTGCATACTGGTCTGCGGCGTTGAAAGATCTGGAAAATTGTTGAAAACGGTCAAACTGGCCATTGCCAGATCGTTTGGAACCCAATCAGACATGTCAGATCCAGGGGTGGTGAGCATGGCTGAGGTGCCACTGATGCCGACGCGGGGCGCAGGAGTGGGTGTGTGTGGGTTTTTGGGCAGCGTGCCACCCGAGGCAGGAGGTGAGTCAGGTGCGAACAACAAGGCGGCGCCACTAGTGGCAGAAGCCATTGGAATCTGAGGTATATTAGCACTTAGATGCACAAGGGGAGCATCGTACTCACAATTCAAGAGATTCAAGACGAGAAGAAAAGACAGAAAAGGCTGGGTTGCCAGGAGATCACTAGAGACGGGTTATTGGAGCTCAAGAACGGCAGCCCAGGCATAGGTTACCAGAAGTCGTGTAGAGCAGCACGTAGGGAGGGCGGCGCCA